CTAGTAAACTGTTTCAAATAACTTTAAGTTAACTGTAAAAGGAATTATCGCTATTAAAAGTTATCAAAGAATAAACAAAAACCATTATTAACCTTTATAAAGGATGGTAAAATATTTGTACTAAATAATAACATTAATATAAAATTATCATATTTTTGCATTGATTTTCACATACGAGTAGATTCTTGTCGAAGATATTTTTGCAACAGTAAAGTAATATGTTATGACACATGACTTGATATGTTGTTGTACGTCAATGTGAACATTACTGTATCAATGCGCCACCTAAGAAAGAAAAAAACTTGTTTGGAAATTGGGATGTGTAAGAACTCATCACTTTATAGCCCCCCATAAAATTATTAGACCCTCCAAGATATAGTAAACTGATTACCGGCATCCTTTGGAGATCGGTAAACTCATCACCGCAGATAGGTAAACTCATTTTAATACCATAGACCATTTGCACAGTGTAAGAATACTCATATAAAAATGCACCGAGTATAATGTTCCAATTCATATGGCGTTCGTCGATTTCCATAAAGCATTAGATTCCATTGAATTATGGGCAGTGCCTGAATCTCTAGAAAATGCACGTATAGATTTAAGTTGAACTATGAACAAGAAGAAATTGAAAAATTCTATCATGATTTAGAAAAAGTATTAGCACCTACAAAGAAACACGATCTCAATATTATCATGGGAGATTTTAATGCAAAGATTGGTGAAGGTGAACAGGAAGATGTCATAGGGAAATATGGTCTGGGAATACGAAATGAAAGAGGAGATATGTTGGCATCTTTTTGCGTAGAAAAGCAATTAGTAATAATGAACACAATTTTCAAACTTCCAAAACGTCGTCTTTACACCTGGAAATCACCAGCAGATACACCTGAACGAGTTTTTCGTAACCAAATAGACTTCATATGTATAAATAAGAGATACAGAAATTCAGTATTATCAGTAAAAACATATCCAGGGGCAGATGTACCAACAGATCACAATATTTTAGTAGGAAAAATAAGACTGAGATTAAAAAGAGTTGCAAGGACGAATAAGCAAAGAGTTACTATTGATAGAGAAACGATGCTAAATGATACTGTAAAACAAGAAATAACTAGTATATTAGAACAAAAGATGAAGTTAACATCAAGCAAAGAAGAAAGTACTGAGGAAAACTGGACGAGAATTAAAGACATCTTAAAGACTGTTCAAGAAACAAAATTAAGTACGCTAAAGCAAGAAAAAAACAAGGGTGGATGACAGAAGAAATACTGAGACTTATGGATCAAAGAAGAGAAGTCAGAAATAAAGATAAAAACGAATACAAGAGGATCCACGCAATAATCAGGCAGAAGATAAAGACACGCGAAAACACAATTTCATAGTAAAGAATGTAATGAAATTGAACAATATGAAAAGAAACACGATACATTTCATCTGCACAAGAAATTGAAAGAGGTCGCTGGAAACAAATGGAAACAAGTATCCCAAAGTTTAGAAGACAGAAACGGACACAGAATATTAGACATCAATGAAAAGTTAAAAGAATGGGAAAACTACATTTCTGAATTATTTGAAGATGAGAGAGTAGAACACTATACACCGATTGCTATATCAGGTCCATCTATAACAGAAAGTGAGGTAAGACGTTCAATACAAACGGCAAAAATGGAAAAGCACTTGGCCCCGATGAAGTAAGTGCTGAAATACTAAAGTTTTTGGGAGAAAATGGAATTAAAGCTCTGTGTAATCTCTTTAACAGAATTTATGACACTGGGATATTACCAACTGATTGGTTAAAGTCGACATTTGTCACAATACCTAAGAAACATCGTCCAAAGACATGCGGTGATTATCGGACAATAAGTCTGATGAGTCACGTTTTGAAAATCTTTCTGCGAGTAATACACAGCAGAATTTATACGCTGTTAGAGGACAGAATTAGCAATACTCAATTTGGGTTTAGGAGTGGCTTGGGTACAAGAGAAGCCTTGTTTAGTATACAGGTGCTAGTACAGAGATGCAGAGATATAAATCAAAATGTGTATATTTGTGCAATCGATTTTGAAAAAGCTTTTGACAAAGTCCGACATAACAAAATGCTAGAAATATTGGAAACAGCTGGATTGGACGATAAAGATCTATGAATAATTACAAATCTATACTGGCATCAAGACTATCCGACCTTCGATCCGAACCCGAAGACTTCGAGACAACCGAAGGTATTATTGTGAATGGAGTAACCGTCAACAATATTAGATATGCCGACGATACCTTAGTCCTTGCCAATTGCGGAGAAGACCTTCAAAATCTAATGAACAAAATAAAACAGACTTGTGATCAGTATGGATTAAAACTCAACGTTAAGAAAACTAAATATATGATAGTTAGCAAACAAAATTATATACATGATGACGGTATAAAAGTCGGAGATGCCACACTGGACAGAGTAGAGAAACTCGAGTATCTCGGCAGTAATATCAATGAGAGCTGGGATCCAACCGCAGAAATTAAAAGCCGAATAGAACAAGCCCGAGCTGCCTTTGTAAAAATGAGAAACGTACTTTGCAGTCATGATCTTAGCATTGACCTTAGAGTTCGTATGATATCTTGCTACATCTTTCCTGTCCTGCTGTATGGAGTAGAAGCGTGGATCCTAACTGAGGCTATGCTTAAACGCTTGACAGCCTTTGAGATGTAAGTATACAGACGACTACTGAAAATAAGCTGGGTCGACAGAGTTAGAAATGAGAAGGTCCTTAGACGGCTGAACCAAACAACACAACTGGTCAATATAATAAAGAAACGCAAGCTGGAATACTTCGGTCATATTATGAGACACCCTGAAAAATATGATCTTTTACATCTGATCATTCAGGGAAAGATCCAAGGTAATCGTGGTCCTGGTAGAAGAAGAACATCATGGCTGAAAAATCTAAGGCAATGGTATGGAAAATCAACTACATCGTTATTTAGAGCTGCTGTCAATAAAGTCACGATAGCGAATATGGTAGCCAACATGATATCCAACGATCGATAACGGTCATGGAACTAGACGAAGAAGAAGAAGAATAGATTTAAGATACACTAACACAATTAAAAAAATATATGCAAATGCCACCATGCAGATAAAGCTGGACGAAAGCACAACAACTAATCCCATAAGACTACAACTGGGAGTAAGACAAGGAGATACCATCTCTTTCAAACTATTTACCCTTGCTCTAGACTCTAGGAGACATTTTTAAGAAACTAGAATGGAACAACAAGGATATCAACGTCGACGGATCATACTTAAACCACTTGAGATTCGCAGATGACATAGTTTTAATAGCTGATAATATCCAAGAACTAACAGTTAAATGCAGTTTTAGGGGCGGTAGGCTTAAAACTGAACTACAGTAAAACAAAAATACTAAGCCGAGACCAGACAAATATAACAATATAAAATCATACAATAGACAATGTCGAACATTATATATATCTAGATCATGTTATCAAACTGTCATCAAACTAGAAAAAACAAATTAAGAAAAACACCTCCATTCCTGTAAACTTAAAGAAAGAGTTGTATAACACATGCATACTACTAGTTTGTACCTACGGCTTGGAGTCAGTGGCCCTTACCAAAAAATCTGCTAAAAAATTAGAAACAACGCAAAGAGCAATGGAACGAATCATGCTTGGAATATCACTGAGAGACAAGATTAGAAACACCGAAATAAGACGTAGAACGAAGATTATTGTGGAAGAAATTACAAAAATGAAATGGTGTTGGGCAGGTCACATTAGTCCGATATAATGACAACAGATGGAGAATTCTAGAATGGAGTCCAAAGACGACAACAAAAAGCATGGAAAGACCTCAAAAAAGATGGATAGATGACATAAGAGCAGTGGCAGGCAAACAGTGGATTAGATCGGGGCAAGATAAAGAAAAATGGAAGCAATTGGCAGAGACCTACATTCAGGAGTGGATGGAAAATGGTTGACAAAGAGATGGTATTTTGGATAATTATAATTTAGGTGACAATATTAAAATTTTATTAGTTTCTTTGAAATTATCTATATTTTATTAAGAAATTATTATTTTTGACTATTTTAATAAAGTATAAGAAGAATTTTAAAATCACAATCCACAAAACTGTATACCCACATTTTCATCTGATCAATTGATATGTTAAATAACATGTTCTGTAAGTCGAAAATTTATGTATAGAGACGTTGCATTTTCGGCTTAAGTTTGCCGTGGCGTAAATTCACACTTGATCAGGTCCCAATCCTCCAAACATTACTTTACAATCAGAATATCTCCATACTTTCCATATTCTTACCGGATTTAACCACCACACTTATCGATCTTTTACTTATATATTTTCTCTCACCTTTATATTATTTGTCTCTTTATGTTCCTTTAAAATCCAGCTAGCAGCTTTCGAATCGGCGGGAGTTCTATTTTTCGTATTTATGTCGCTTTGTGTATTAAAAAGACATTGAAGAGTAGTTGAGTGGAAGTGTTTACAAATAATTGCGTATTCATAAAGTAATTGTTGACCATGGTACAGTTATTTATTCGCTAGGTATAATTTAGAAAATAAGGCCACTTATACAGTGTGCTCGAAATGTCAAAATCTCTTAACAAGTCTTAAGTAAAAAATCGCACTATGAGTGCAATACTATCGTAAGTTAAAAAAAAATTATGTTCAGAAACAATCGAGAAAAATGTTTCATTTATAGCATATAATATGAGTGCAAAACTAATGTAACTAAAAATTTAATTTTCATGGTATAATTTCCAAGTTAAGATACTACAATCTTCGAGTATAACGCTTATCGTTATTGTGCAAGGCTATCACATTAGAGATATGATAGTCTTACATCTCATGTGATAGTGTTACACCCCCAATATTTATGAATAACAACAAAAATGCAAGAGTTTAATGAGATATTGCAACCAATAAATGTAGAACATGGTGAAAATGTTAGTGTAAACTAGTGAAATGTTGAATAAACAGCAAACATACCAAGATCAGTCACTAGAAAACAATATTGTAGACCATAATATCGCAGAACAGTCAAATGAAGATCCGTTTTATACATCATTGGACGAAGACAAGACTTGGACACCGAACGAAACACCACAAGCTGCAAAATTGGGTACTAAGAAATCAGAAGAATTAGGTAACGAAAATGTAGAAAAAGACCATGAAAACCCGAAACATGGAAACGAAATATTAAAAAAAGTAAAGTAGGAACAACTGGAAAGCTCGTAGAAAAAAAATTAAGTGCAGTTTTAAATGCCATTCAAATATTGACAATGCAAAGCGGCAGTTAATTTTCCACAAATATTGGGAGCTTGGTAACATAGATCGATAAAGATAATTTTTACTGAGACATATTGAATTAATTAAGCCCACATAGAGGTAGAATACAAGACAAGCCAAGGTAAAAACCCAAATATTTTTTTGAAACCGAAAGTACAGTAATAAGAGTATGTAAAAAGTTCTTCCACGATACTCTCGGAATTAGTGACATGATGTCAAGAACTGCTCAGAAGAAGGTGTCAGGTGAAGGTATTTTGGAACCTGAGAAAAAAAGGAACCCATAACAAGTAAAAAAGGATTTCCAGAGAAATTCAACAAGATATCAGAAATCACATTACATTGAGTCTATACCCACAGTCATCATCATCAATCAGCCAATCGCGTCCACTGCTGGACATAGGCCTCCCTCAGTTCTTTCCAGTGTTCTCTACACTGGACTGCTTGTAGCCAGTTTCCCGCTACACGTTTAATGTCATCGGTCCATCTAGTCGGTGGTCGTCCTCGGCTTCTTTTATAATTTCTGGGCCTCCATTCCATAATACGTCTTGTCCACCGTCCATCTTGTGTTCTGGCTAAGTGCCCTGCCCAGTTCCACTTAAGCGTCGTGGTTCTTTCGATGACGTCTTGAACCCCTGATCTTCGCCTAATTTGTTGGTTTGTTATGTGGTCTCGAAGGCTCACGTTCAGCATTGCACGTTCCATGGCTCGTTGTGTAACTCTAAGTTTATTCGCAGATTTTTGCGTGAGTGTTAATGTCTCTGCTCCATAAGTTTGTACAGGTAATACACATTGGTTATAAACCTTTCGCTTGAGACACATGGGAATTGAACTTTTTAGAATATGGCTTAATTTGCCAAATGCTGCCCATGTTAGACCTATTCGCCTCTGTATTTCATGTGTTTGATTGTCTCTGCTTATTTTGATTTCGTGTCCCAGATATTTGTAAGTGTCTGTTTGTTGTATGGTATTATTGTCAATAGTTATATTTCCACTCATTACGAGATTTGTTAAAATTTTAGTTTTCTCAAAGTTTATCTTTAATCCTGCTTTTTCAGACAGACTTTTAAGCGAATGCATCATAGAAACCGTATCTTGTAAGTTATCTGCGATTAATACAACATCATCTGCAAACCTTAGGTGATTTAATCTTTCTCCATCTATATTGATGCCCATATCTTGCCATTGAGTACCCTTAAATATTGACTCTAAAGCTGTCGTGAACAATTTTGGTGAAATATTGTCTCCTTGTCTAACTCCTCGACCTAAGCTGAATTTTTCTGTGTCTTCGTGCAGTCGTATACTTGATGTAGCGTTCTGATAGATGTTTTTGATTAGTGTCGTGTACCTGTAATCTATTCGGCTTTGATTTAGGGCTTCCAGTATTGTTTCAAACTCTACAGAATCAAAAGCCTTCTCGTAATCGACAAATGCAAGAACCAGTGGTATGTTGTACTCGATGCACTTTTCTATTAAGATCTTTATGGTATGCAAATGGTCATTTGTGCCATATCCTGCCCTGAAGCCTGCCTGTTCTTTGGGCTGATAGAAATCAAGTTTAGGTGTTAGCCTCTTTGTTAAGATTTTCATAAAGAGTTTGTACATATGTGTCAAGAGGCTGATGGGTCTATAATTTTCTAATTTAGTAATATCGCCTTTTTTGTGTAACAAGACTATTACTGCATTGTTCCAGTCTTTTGGAATCGTACCCGCATGTAAGCATTTAGTAAACAGTTCGCTTACTGATTTTAATAAAATTTCTCCACCTGCTTTTATTGCCTCGATATCGAGTCCGTCATCATCAGGCGATCGATGGTTCTTCATTTCCTTTAAAGCAGCTCTTACTTCTGACACAGTAATGGGTAAAAGTAATTCCGATCCCTGATTTATGAGAGTCTTTACTCGTGTCGGGAAATTGTCTTGTGGTCTTTGGCTGGTATAGTATACCCACAGTAGAATCACATTATTTAAGGGCTCAGACAAAAAAACATACTTTGAAGGAAATTTAAATTTAAGCACTTTATATAAACTCTATGTGGAAATGTGCAACAAATTAGGAAAACCTGTAAATTAAACAAATTTTGTTCTTTTGTTACTTGGTGAAAAAATCTTCTACTTTAATTTTATCTGACTCATTTATTGACAATTCAGACACACATTATACATTTTAAAGTAGACGACTTTAAAATGATATTGCCAATATTGTTGAGTTGCGCTCCTGGGACGACTTTGTTATAAGATAGTTCATTAGATTACATGAAATCAACTTTAACTTGAGAATATTCGTCAGAAAAAATCATAGCACGTAATTCGCCGTTAAAAAAACAAACACATGCCACGATGACAGTATAATTCTCCTGTTAATGATTCTACAGAAAATTGTGAGGGCAAAACCAGGAAAAAAACCTTATAATACTATCCCGACATGTTAAGTATTTGGTCGTGCATTTAGTTTACCTTCAATAAACACCAAATTTTGAATTTATATGTTTATTATTTAAAAAAACATAAATGATGTATCCTCCATATGTTACTGACTTCCTGAGGTCGTTGTAGTCAATTTTCTTTGATTTCAGGACATTCATTAATTATTTATGTCGTACTTTATCGAATGCTTTATTATAGTCAATAAATCATGCGTATATATCTTGATTGACGTCTTTGGGCATCTTTGTATCAGTATATTAAGTAAAAAAAAGCGTTCCTAGGCCTTTGCAAAAACCAAATTGTGTATCATTAACGTATATGTCCAGTTTATGGTATATTCAGTTATGGATTACTTTTAGTAGTAACTTTAGCAAATGAGACATCAAGCTAATGGTGAGGTAATCGCTGCATTGTCTTGCGTTTTTCTTTTTAGGGAGACAAATAAAAATCGAATCTAAATCGAATATAAATTTGGTTCAAGAATGTCACTAAAACATCAATGTGCTTCTCATCTAGAATTTTTAGGATTTCTATAGGAAGCATCTCAGGTCCAGGGCTTTTCGTTCTCTTCATTGTTTTTAATGCGTGTAGTATTTCTTCTTTTGTAATATATGGACCTATTTCTTTTGCGTAAGTTGTATGTGCTCCAGATCTTCTCTTTCATCATCGAACAATTCGTCGATATATTCTGCCCATCTTTGTACTTTCTCGTCGGTATGTGTTTCTTCTTCTCTTTAAATATGTAAAAAAGCTTTAATAGGTTTAATTTAATTGTTACAGCTATGGCATATCCAGGTCTATATCCAGACTACGTCCATGCCTTGGCAGCAGCTACTCAAGCTGCTTCTTTGGCCGGAGCTGGTCACCATACTCAGCACCAGCCTCCCAAACGAAAACGACGTCATCGCACTATCTTCAGTGAAGAGCAACTTGAACAACTTGAAGCTACATTTGAACAAACGCATTATCCAGACGTGGTGCTCAGAGAACAGTTAGCGTTAAAAGTAGATTTAAAAGAGGAGAGGGTTGAGGTAAGTTGAAATTAATGTACAACAAAAATCATTAAATATCTTACATTGTAATCATACTAAGTAAGGAGCAAGTTTAAGTATGCTTCTTAAACTTTTCGTTGAGTTATTTATTTGAAATATTAAACTATAAATCTTATAAATTATAAATATCTTATTAAAATTTTACGTGATGAATAAAGGGCTTATATTAGAGCAAGTATATCTCACCGGTCTACGAACTTATACGAGATATTAGGAAAGTGTGAAATTCACTGGAGGCCAACATGAATAATTAATAAATGTAGAGGAATACAAAACAACGAATAAACACTGAAGGTTACAAAACTCACTTTTCAATGTGGATGTGTATCAATTAAATAGAAGATGATTGTCCGGTTCTACCGGAATTTTAACAAACATACTAACAGTTTAAATATTTGTTTCAAGAATAATTTTTTGCATTATAATGCAGGATAATGCAGGATAAATTAGTTTTCAATGGTTAACGCAGATATTTTGGAAACTACAATAGCTAGATATATCAAATAGGTAAAGACATGACATTTTTTGCTTGATAAGATAATAGGCTGTTCAATAAGTTTTGCGGTTCAATAATAAAAACAACGTTGTGGTTTGAAACATACTTCGTTATTTGGGTGAAGCAAGAATCTGGAAGGGCTGAAAGTACTCTTCCACAGCTGTTGTGAACTCATCATTTGAAGAAAAACTCTTTACATGCATGAATTTTTTTGGTACTGAAACAGACAGAAGTCGCTAGGGACCAAAACCTGGTGAATAGGTGAATGCTCTAACAATTCGAATTTTAATTCATATATTTTAGCCATAGTCCAAACGATCATTGAACACGGTGCATTGTCATGATGAAAAAGGAGTTTTTTCTTTTACAAACCGGGTTTTTTTTTTCACGAATTTTTTCCTTTTTTTAAATTCTAAATATTATTGTAAGCTTTTAGATTAAAAGGTTTCAATAATATTCAGAATTTATTATTTTATCAAGTAATCCACAAACAAAACTCCTTTCGCATGCTAAAAAAACTGATGCTAACACCTTACAACTAATTTCTGGACATTAACTCGTTTCGAAGCTGAATTTTCAGGTTTACACCATTCTTTAGCCTCTTGTTTTAATTCATGATTATAGTGATAGACCCATGTCTCATCTATAATGATAAATAGACGTACAAAATCCACTTTATCTTTTTGAAAACGCTTTAAACGTTTCTGAGCAAGTCGCATTCGAATGTGTTTTATTTACTCATCATGTAAGAGTGGCCATCATTATGCTCACTCAAAGGCTATTGCTAAAGTTACACATTTTTATAGTACTACATCTATTGTTGTTTATTAATGACCTTTAAGTGGGTAGTTTGTGCTCTTCTTTACAAAAGTTCGTCTTCCATGTACATAATTTTCAATTGACATAATGAAGTTTTCCCTTGATTGCTGATGTATTTGCCTTGATATCCTATTTGCTTCATTTCAAGCTTCCCTGTATATGTTTTGCTTTGTCACATTTTGCAAGTACTTGTGATATGCCAGTTTTTGTCTAATTAATGAATTTTTCACTGTTAACTACATTGCGGTAATCGTATTTTCTTTTTATTTATTTCTCCATTCATCGTTTGCATCCAGTTTCGTAGATTCTTGTTCCAGATATTGATTTAAACATCTTTGGTAAAAAAAAATCATTTTTTATTATTATTGGCCTGGAATATAATAAGCTAGAATCCAAATATCAAAAACAAAATTATTGTAAATGAGCACGACATAAGAAAAGAATGGCAGCTGTATATATCAGAGTTGTTTAAAAATGACCGGTTGTGGTTCAAACGATATACTAACTTAGTTGCTGAAACTAATAGAGGATGATAACATAAAAGTAGTAATAAAACCTTTTAATTCAATATATAAGACCGGAGTGATTCCCACAGATTGGCTCAACTCCATCTTCAGCCATTAGCCTAATGAGCCACACTCTTACAATTTTCCTAATAATACTTCACAACAGAATTAGACGCAAATGAGAAGAAGATCTCTAAGGTACCCAATTTGGTTTTAGAAATGCTATGGAAATCAGGGAGGCACTCTTTGCGCTTAACATCCTATTACAAAAATACCGTGACCAAAGAAAAGATGTATTTGCATGTTTCGTGGATTTCGAAAAGGCCTTCAATAAAGTCCAGCATGTAAAATTAATGCACATACTGAAAAATATCAGAATAGATGACAAGGATATTCGTGTCATTAAAAATTTGTCCTGGAGTCAAACTACTATCGTAACAATTGGAGATAACTACACCGATGAAATCTCCATACTCCATACAGGTTGCATTTTGTCGCTAACATTGTTCAATGTTTACTCGGACCAGTTATTTAAAAAGGCACTTGAGAGACAACCATATGGAATAAAAATGAACGGGGAACTACTTAATGTGATTAGATATGCAGACGATACAGTAATTCTGTCAGATAATATTGAGGGTCTCCAAATTCTGCTTGATCGTATTCACGAAGTAGGAGAAGAAATGGGCATTAAAATAAACTCAAACAAAACCAATTTAGTCGTAACCCACATCCCGATTCAAAGCTTAAATTAAACAGAGTCCAAGTTGAGAAAGTTCACAAAATGACATATTTAGGAACTGTCATAACAGACCATCTAGATTCAGACATAGAAATCAAATGTAGAATAGCAATGACTAAAACTACTTTTATGAAAATGAAGTCATTTCTTTGCAACAATCATCTCAGTTTAGAACTAAGACAAACAATGGTTAAGTGCTATGTTTGGTCCATGCTTTTATATAATGCAGAATTGTTAACGCTAAAAGTATCAATCATGAACAAAATTGAAGGATTGGAAATGTGGGTACATAGACGAATGCTGAAGATACCTTGGACAGCAAGGAAAACTAATGAAGAAATACTAAGGAGCGTCAACAAACTGCTAAAGACTGTTAAACACCGAAAAATGTCTTACTTGGGACATATAGTAAGGGGAAGTCGATATAAAATATTTCAACTGATCCTTAAAGGCAAAATAGAGGGCCTTAGAGGTGTAAGAAGGAAACGGGTTTCTTGGTTGAGGAACAATCGTGAATGGACTCGGATATCATATGCGGGACAATTATTCCATATTGCAAAAGATCGAGAAGCCTTCGCAATGGTGATCGCCAACTTCGGATAATATGGCACGCGAAGAAGAAAGAATAAAAATGTTTTTACTGGAACATTGCATGATTTATTTTTATTAATAATATGGCATTTATTATCAACAGATAGTTTACTTTATAGATGCATTCCTTCCAAAAAGTTGTTAAAACTTAGGTGCTACAGCAAAATAGCTTGTCGATGACATAAAATCGTATTTCCAAGCTTACCAGTATAATATAAACGTATTACACAAAATGTTAATCTCTATTTACATAATAAAAAATTCTCTAAGCATTTTTAAGTACGTGTTTCTCGTATTGACACTGGCATATTCTAATGTCAACAGACTACCGAATTCATTTAAAATTCTATTATCTATCACGATTAGTAATTTCACTAGATACTTTAAGCTTAAGTTGAAAGTGTTGGTATTGGGTACTACTGGTTAGTAGTTGAAGTGGTTCTCTCTGGGTGGTTTCGACATGTGTCAGCACCTTTTTTGTTGACTCGGGATAGTCAAGTGGTGGGCATTTGCATTTTGGAGTCTAAGAGGAAGCTTACTTCTAGCTACTTGAATTGATCAGAACGAACTAATAACCGTATTAGTGGACAAGGTAGATAATCTTAAAATTAGTTATACTGAGTGATCATTTCACAATTCGATATCGAAAATACAACTTTCAAATACAATATGTTAAAATTGGAATACTCTCTAATGTTGCTGAATATCTTCTGATTAAATCGAAATATTATTGTACGATATATTATTTGTAAAATATTTTACTCTTTTTATTGAGAATTTATCACAATTTTGGTTTAAAATACGTTTATTTTGAGGTTTTGATTTATTTTTTATTTATATATTTCCATAATATTTTAGATCCGTATTTTAAGAACAATGTCTGAATTGGAAATCGAAACGTCAAAATAAACATATGTTGAATTAAAATTGTGGCCTATTCCCAATAAAAATAGTAAAATATATTAAAATGCCACAAGAAAATAGCTTTCTTCAGAATAATATTATTTGCAAAACTCTTAAAAAATAGAACTTTACCAAATTCCCGCCTCGTGCAGCTGAACAAGTATCGCCCTGTTTTGGTCATTATATCATCACCATAAGGTTTAAACCATTGAAAACATTTACAAATCTGCAGTAATAAAATCAAAAATTTGCAATTAATTTACATATTTAATTATATATATTATATAATTAAATAATTATATATTATATAATAAATATATTATATAATTAAATATAATTTACATATTATAAAAATTTTACTAGCTTATTATTAGACTTAGGCAAATATGCAAATAAAAAAGTGTAAAATATGTGCATAAATATGCAGTATTTTATACAAAAATATGCAGTATTTTATGCAAAAATATGCAGTACAATACTATAAATATATAACATATACAATTATTATTTTATCATATAAATATTATTTTGAATTTTGGTACCTAACAAAATAGATTATCAAATGATGTTCAAAATTTTCTAATAAAAACTTATGACTTCTATCTGAATACAGATATTTGTAAATAGAAAAACTTCTTTCGATATCAACTGATGTAACTGGGGCATTTTTCAAATTTACTATACATAATTAAGTGGTTCGGAAAATATTCTGGATAGTACTTGGAGCCACTTCAGAAAGAACCTGGTAACCACTATTTTTTTCCTTGGTTACTTTAAATTTAAAAAAAAATTCCTTTCCAATAGTACCTTTAAGGTTTTGACACAATAACTCAAATTCTTTTATTAAAACTGTTACTCTCTAACAATGATAATTTGGAGAATTCTAATTGAATTATAGTTTTCTGGACAAAACTATAATTGGATTTTATGA